TGCTGCTATTTCAATAGGACCGTTTCATTGCATTAAGCCTTAAAACCTGAATGTTCCTCAGAGACCCTTGAATGAACTACTAAAACCCTCTTATTTGTTTATTTGCTTGTGCCTATTTTCAATAAGTAAACAATTATCCTCTGTGATTATTAACTAATTTTACACATAAACCGTTTATCACTCAGGCTTGATTCACTCTTTCAGTAACATCTGAATGAACAGAGACACATTTATTTGTTTGGTGATTAATAACTCTGCTGATAGCCATAGTCTAAATTTGTTCTAAACTGAAATTTTAACAGCCGGATTAAGGAGTCCAACCTTTTATATAAGAGACTAAGACCACTGATGAGTAAGCAAATTATGGTTATAATCATTCAACTAATAATTATTAGTTCTACCCTTAATTTCAATGGCATTACAAAACTGTAACTTCCAGTTCTAGTTATTTAAATTATTCATAATCTTCTGGTGAACTTGCATAGCATAAGGATCTGCTCACCCTGCGTAGAAGGAGACTCATTATCCCCAGTGCATTAAGTGTCACATGGAAAAAGTGCATCAGATTAAATAGTTTGATGCAACCAGTGTGACCCAGGCTTAAATCATTTTGTTATACTTATTTAACCCTTGACTTCCCTTGTAGTGTGTCTCCAGCATGTAGAGGACACCCCAGAGACGCTGCTTTGTTTTGATGAAGGCAGGATGTGATCATTTTAGAAACAGGGATACCAGACACAGGGTTCTGAATGGTGCGGAGACCTTGGACAATTTATTACTTTACGCTGCTCTTCTTCTGCAACTTTACAGACAGTGAAAGCAAACTGTCTTTAGAACATTTAATTAATTTGCTAAATATATTATTGTATTTTGTGTACTGAGCTGCTGAGTATGCTGCTTACTTAATCAGACACAGAGTGTGACTGATTTCAGAGGCTGTGTACTCCAAGGACCCGGTCTACCTGGACTGGGTCCTTCCTGTCCGTGAAAATAGATCCAGATCCAAAAAAGAAGGCTGCATTTGTCAGACATAACGAGGATTCTTCCAATCTGAGTATGCCTTGGCGCTGCGCTACAACGCCATTGGCCGACGAATCTGGCCTTCGGAGGAAAGAGTGACTGAATTCAAACTCATCAAAATAAAGCAAACTGTGAGGAATATGGCAGATTCCTGGGAAAATAAACCTGAGCTATGGTGTCGCACATGACAGACATGTCAGAATCCACATTACCACAACAGAACAACAGTGCCCTCTTCTGGTACATTATGTCACAACCTTACATCTACCTTTCCTTTATTTGATGGTGCCCCAGCCGTGAAACTAAACAGAAGGCAACTAAGGAAGTTCTCAACAGTCCTAAAACCAAAATATCAGATTTATTTTAACAACCTGTATGTCTTGAATGTACTGTTTTTGTTACTTATTATTGATATGATAGCTATTTGATCCTGGGTATTTTTCTTACGATCTAAATCTGTCCAGTCAATCTGGCCCGCCGGGCAGTGCATGAGCAACTTCTCTACACTCTGTACACAAACGCCAGCCATTTCCCAATTCTTTTCTCCATTTTGCATAAAGAGTTCAGTTTTCTTTGTGTTGTCCACATTTTTAGCTGTCTGCAAGTCCTCCCCCAAACTTGTCTGACTTCCAAATCTGACTCTACCTCCATAGCTGCATAGTGGGAAACAAACTTTCCCTGGTTGAGACTGTTTCTGTGGACCCCTCTCTCTGGACCACCACCCTCCGGTTGTACCATGTACATTGGTAAATCTGGTTGTCCCCAAGCTTCTGTCGTCCCTCAACATGACATATTTTGACCAGCCCTTTGTCCTCTGGGTTGAAAACATGACACTTTTTTCATTGTACTTATTTTATTTTTTTCTTGGCCTTCCTAGGAGTTCTCAAATAAAATAAACAAAATAAACGATGAAACCACAGAAGGATGAAAAGTTATTTACTAATGCATGCTAGCTTTAAATCAATAGACTACAGGGTAATGCTGTATATTTTAAATCAAAGGCATCTATCTTGAATAATCTAAAGGGTCAAATTTAGCAATCAATGAGGAAAAACAGGTTGGTGAAATCCTTTATATAAAATTCTGAAAACCAACCTCTCAGAGTCTGTGGAAGTTTGTTGGACCCAGATACAGAGGTGGAGGTAGAACGTGGAGTACTGTGTCACTAAATACTGACACCTGCTGGACTTTTATAATCACTGCAGGCAGCCTGTTTGATGGCCTAATCTGACACTGATCTGCTGACCTAGTAAAATATAATGATTTAGGTCATTGTATGTCTTATTGTTTTATTTTATACTTTTCTTTAAATTGAATATCTTTTATATTTTCAGATGCAGTCAGTAAATAATGTGAACATATATCACAACTTGAAAATTGAAGTGAAAATGTGAATGAGGAAGCTTGTTGACTGGAATTTTAAAAAAAATATTGAAAACAAGAAGTGCACAAAGGACAATAAAGTTGGAGTCAATTTGAAATCATTTTAAAAAAAGATAAGTCAAGTGATAACTGAGAGAAACAGGATGACACAAGAAAATTGAAACAAATATGAGATCAAAATGGTCCTAAATGGCTGAAACCTTTCTTTAGCCTTGAGGCTGCTCCATATGCCTTGATGAATTTGATGATGAAACTTGAAAAATAAAATATTCTTTTGGCAGATGCATCCGGTGAACCGTACGCCTATACACACAGTTTGTAACATCAGAGTCCATTAATCCATCTACAGGTGGGAGGTTGACCATCTGGTGACCTGGTGCAGGGAAAACAACTGTCAGGTCTAAGCACCTAAAACATCATACATACATACAGGGAAAGAAAAAGGCACAGAGACAATTAATTTAGTTTTACTCGTGAGGAGAGTAGGAAGAGAACATGCAGGTACATCTCCACCCCACTCTGCCAGTCTTCAGCTTTCTCCTCGCTATTTATTAAAGGAATAGGAAACAAGAAGCAGCCTCAGTGAACAGGTCAATTTGCATTTAAATGTCTTGCGGTCAAATGGTCCGAGAACCTCCTGGTTTCGTTAAGCTTGAGCAATACTTCCTGATAGTTGACCTCTACTGATTGTGCAACACCTCTCTGAAACAGTAATATGTCACACATTATACATCATAAGAAAAAACATTAACTATCTTATACATAATTATTCCATCAACAACCTAGAGCTCAATGCTCTAGAAACACTGGAGATGGTTTTGGACTTCAGGAAGAACTCAGTCCATCTATCACCATCACCCTCTGTGACTCACAACGGACACTTGAAACTTCCTGGGAACTATCATCTCACAGGAGCTAAAGTTGGAGCTAAACATAAACTCCCTCACCAAGAAAGCCCAGCAGAGGAAGTACTTCCTGCTGCAGCTGAGAGAATTGACCCTTCCAAGGACAATGATGGTGCACTTCTACTCCTCCATCATTGAGTGCATCCTCACCTCCTCCATCATCATCTTCTGGTCTGGTGCCACAGCAAAGGAAAAGGGCGAGCTACAGCATGTCATCACCTTTTCTGGGAAGATTATGGCTGATTAGATAGATAGATAGATAGATAGATAGATAGATAGATAGATAGATAGATAGATAGATAGATAGATAGATAGATAGATAGATAGATAATATATTGGCCACAAGGTGGCGCCACATTCCAATCATTGAACCCAAGCTGTTCTTCCCTGGACACCAAATAATTAAATGCATGTTTTTAAATCACTCATTTTTATTTTCTCAGTGTTTTCGTTTCATTTTTACCATTTTTATGATTCAATAATTCTTCCTAGTTTTTCCTAAACTTTCTCACTGAGGCTGCTGGTCACATGACCCACTGAGGATAATCTGATTGGTCCAAAGGTTGAAACTCTGTTTCTACCTGCAGCTGCATCTCAGAGGTGTTTTATTATGACCCACATCATAGAAACTTTACGATGTTTTATTTCTAAACTATTCTGCCTTTTACTTCACTGGTTTGACTTCATTAATTGATAATGTCTGGAAAATCAGCAATATTTGGTCGTTTTATTTTCCATCTTATAAATGACTTTACTTGATCATTTCTCTTTATTCAATTATTTCTATTTTTATGGAAATTGACACATTTTTGTTACTATTCTCCACCATTTTTTATGTTTTTAATAGTCTTTTTTCAGCCCATATCTTAAGTAAATTAATTACTTTGCTTCGGTTTTATGCTCTGTATTAATAATTAAATTTATTTATATTTATTTAACATTTTACTTCATTGTTTTATTTCTCATTTGAACTTATTATCTTACTGTTTTTGCAGTTGTGTTATTTTGTATATATATATATTTTTTTTTTATTAAATTCAATATTGTTTTTATATCCGTGTTGTTTTTAAAATGTCTGTTTAGATTTAAATTATTTATTAGTCAATTTCTGCATCTTCATGCTGATATTATTATGTCAGATACTCTATCTTTTATTTATTCACTGAATAATTTAATGCAGAGCTTTTATCTGGCCAGTTTGTTTTGACTGAACTTTTCTTTCCTCACATCAACAAACACATTTATCTAATAAAACTCTCCATAGATCCAAACTTCTATCCAGATAAAGAATTTCTGTATGAAAGTTTTCACTCCAGCCTCTAGAGGAACCAACCCTCCCTCCTGTTTCAGGATATTTTTAGGAATGGAAACTTTTCTTTTTCTTCTTCTAATGATCTCCCAGCCCTCCACCTTCAGTCTGACCTGATTTATAACTCGTGTCACCCCCGGCTCAGATCCGTTGAGGTTTGCAGCAGAATGAATCACCTGCTGTAATTAAAGTCTGTCCCAAACAGACAGGTTTGTTATTGTTGTTATTCTAACCTTCAGACATGTTTAAACCCTCTCACTCACTGAGAAGAACCTCAGATCAGGAATAACCTGACAGAGGAGCTCAGAGGTTGCTTTTCCCAGGAACCCCAGACTGTGCTTCCAACAGCCTGCTGGATTCACGCCCATCCGTGCGCGCGCGCTCTTCCAGAGAAAAGCGCACGCGCTCCAAACGCGCCTCAGACGGAGCGCTGGGAGCGGCTGCAGCTGGACCGACTCCTGCCTGCATGGATGAAGGAGCTGCGCGGAGATAAGGCTGTGTGAAGATGAACGGTGAGTGACCCTTCAAACATTTATTCCTCAGGAACAACAGACCAGATTGAAGCACAGAAAGACGCTCAGATTAATAATCTGAAGTTAGAGATGAACCCAAAGCTGCTGCAGCAGCAGGAGCTGCAAACATCCATGGCTTCAGCTGGAAAGCAAATATTTAGCTTCTAATTAACTAGAGAAATTAACCATTGCTGTAAAAATCAGTGGAAAAATTAGAATATAGATGGAGAATATTATTGATAACAATAACAGATTAAGCAGAACTGGAAACACTGGTTTATATGTAAACATTTCTGTTTCATTCTCATTAAAACGACAAATAATAAAAGTTCAGAGGAAAATTACTTTAACTTGAAAAAAATGAAGATTTTTAAAGCAAGAAAAATCTTCAGAAACTCAAGAGAGAAAATTATTTCATAGTAAAAACAAGTTTTCCCAAGCTGTCAGCAATTTCCCAAGAAATAAGCAATATTTTAAAGGAATATAAAGATCTTAGTTTATAAATAATTAGTTTAACCCTTTATAGGGCAAGTTAGTGTTTTTTAATCCCTCATAGATCCTGCTACATGGCTGTTCATCTTATTTTGGCATCTGACCAATTAAATGAGCCCTTAAATGACCTACTGGAAATTAAGTTGAAAAAAAGTTAACAAGTTAAGAAAAAAAAGGTAAAAAGTTAATTGAAAAGATAAAAAGTTAAGACAATTATATTTAGGTTTATAAACTAATAAACATCAGTGCCAGTATCCGCATTAATTCCTCTAAGGTTATGTTGGATCGGGGAAAAAATTTGTTTCTTTCACTCTCAGAGTGTTTTTCATGAATTTCCTATCAAATCAATTTTGTTATTTTTCTTAATATATTCGGGAAAGTTGCCGTTTCTTGTTATTGCATTGACATTAATATTTCCAATCAAAATATCCATATTTTTTTAATGTTACAAAGGTAACAATGTGTTGTCCTGCATTCCAATCCAACACTATCGGCTTAAAATTTAGATTTTTGTATGATTTCACTGGGCGCCCTGTAAAGGGTTAATAAATCTGGTTTAATTAAACGAGATAATTTTTCTGCCCTGCGCCGCTGGGACAGTCAGTCACGGGTCAACACTGCGTCCAAGGAACATTTACACAGAGCTGAGAGCAAGGTCAGAGGTCACATTGAGCCTGCATCAGCCCCAGAGGGAGATATTACCCCCCCAACGGTCACTGAAGGACTCATTAACTGCGTTATGCTCCAACAGATTCCCTGTCTGAAAGAAAACCGTTTAGCATAAAAACCGAAGCTGGTGTCCGAACACAAACGGGCCACAGAGCCCCGACACTCATTTCCATTTTATGATCCAACAGATAAAACCGTCAGCAGGTTCATTCAAATCCAGGCCCCAGAATAAACAGTTTTTCTCTCAGGTGATAAGAGCTGCGTTGTTCCAACGCTCCGAGCTGTTCGCTGCTTACATAACGCCAAACTTTCACAGCTTCTCCCAGACACCAGCCTCTGCTTCCTGCTTCAGGTTTCACAGTGCGGATTCAGATCGCTTATCGTGGAAACTGATCAGAACTGCTTTGGCCTGCGTCCTTGTTTGGATGCAGGCGTGTCAGAGCCTGGCCAGAACCGCGGCCTGCACGGGCTCCTGCACACCGCTTATTCTGCAGATAAACATTCGCAGTGAAAGGGAAATGCTTTCATTTCCTTGAGGGCAGCATTGTTTACCGAGGTGGAGCTGAAGAAGCACCCTTTGTTCAAATGGAAGACATATTTTTACTTTCAGAATATCACTGTGACTCTTTAACAGCATCAAATCAAGTTTTAGATAATCGGGTTCTATTATTAGCATTAAAACAGGCGGAAAACTGCTAACCTGAGGCCTGCATGCAGATACAAGGAAATCATTCTCTACTGCTTAGACAATAGGACACATAAAACAGGCAACACAAAGAATCTATGCATAACTATCTAATATTTAAGCTGAAATATTTACTCTCTTTGGTTTCAAAAGCCTTAGAAATGCTGGTTTTAATTCCTTTCAGGCTAACAGGTGTCAGGAAGTTTGTTTCTCATCTGTTTCTTAGCTCCATCAGGTAAATCCTCTGTCACACCAAGACGATTTAGAGCAGCGTATGCCTGATGTGGGAAAAATCTGGCAAAAATGCTGGCATTCCCTGAAAATAAGTTATGGGTACGTTTTGTATAAGTTTTGAGCATGCGTAAAATTTCCCGCCATCAGTTCCAGGTCAGTTATCTGATGGTTGACATACATTCAGTGTCAGTTACTCATAACTCATCTAGCTTATCCTAAACCTCTGACAAACTTGTTCATAACTTCTGCGTAACTTATCCAGAACTTCTCTCCAACGCATATCAACGTATCTGACGTGTTCCAAACGAGCGCTGAACGTGTTTCTAACTTCCAGCTACTGTATAATGGCGTATTGGCAGCGTTTTGGTATAAAGGACGTTCCAAAAAAGTTAAAAAACAATCCACTGGACTTTATTTCCAAGTTTCAGAATCAGAAATACTTTAATAATCCCAGAGGGAAATTACTTTAGTTACACGCTCCAGTTACAGTTTTATATAATATATACACACATCCAACTATACAATATAATTAAGATAAAAAATAAGAATAAAAAGAGATAAAATATATACCCATATAGCTCTTCTGTATATATATATCTGTACATATATCTATAAATATGTAAAAACTAAATCCAAATAAAGTGAAAATCCAAGCACAGTGATAAATCCAAGTAAAGTGAAGATGACCTTAGGCCTGAAGTTCCTAGTGAAGTTAATCTAAATGTTGACATTTCTAACTTGATTTATGTGTCAGAACTCTGTAAACATGAAGCATCTCCGGGGAATGAATCTCAGAAAATGCGAGGGTGAGTCAGAAAACAATCATTAAGAATGAAGGAGCAAAAACTTAAATGCTAATTTGAAAATAAAAGGTTGGACTTACAGAAAGTCTGGATGGATATAATGAATAAAAAGCTGTTTCTATTATAGAGGAGACTGAGTGAGGAAGGATAAGCAGTGAGAACTGAATTGTTTGGATGTTGCTGAAATGATGCTCTCCTCCCTGTGTAATGTTTAACATGTTTCACTCCTTTTGTTTGTAGAACGGCTGTTGGCAGCAACCATGAGCGCCTCGGCCAGCAACAACACCGAGGCAAACATGGAGGCAGCGTCTTGTTCCCACATCGATGACACGTTCAAATACAACGCCTATATCTTCACCTACGTGCTGGTGTTCCCCGTGGCGTTCCTCTGCAACGTCTTGGCGCTGTTGGTGTTCTTCAAACAGAAAAAGCGCAGGTTTGACACTGAATGCACACGTTTAACTTGTGGTTTCTTTATATGATTGATTTTTTATTTTCATTGTGTCTCTCAATTCTTAGTCAATATGTTCTGTTCATTGCAGTTTGGAAAATTAGGGAATCAACGACTTAAACTCTCCAAACCTCGGAACCATTTTATGGCTTGTTAAAAATGTAAACAAACCAAAACTCTCTTGTTCAATTCTATTCAATTCAAAAATACTTCATAAAACCCGAAGGGAAATTAAATGTTGCAGAAAATACAAGTTTTTAGCCAGTTGTTGTAGGTGTTGATGCTGCAGACAGGAAGGATCTTCTACATTTGCCTTACTTACCGAAGACACTCTGCTGTTGTTTAACAATATTCTGACGAGGATGCTCACTGTTCTCCATAATTTTCTTTATTTTATGAAGAATTCTTCTTTCTTCAATCATTTCCAGAGGTTCTTGAGGATTTCCTCCCCTAAATTTTCCAGTCTATCTCTATCGTATGGTCATAAAGCCCGGCAGAGAGACGCTTGAGTCTGGGATATGATCCTGCAGCTACGTTTTAAGTAAAACACATAATGCTGAATAGCCGATATTCTGGCTGAGTCATTGCGAGGGGAGTTCTTCTAATTTGTTTCCTAAAGATCTCACATTGCCCATGAAGACTGATGGAAGATTAAATTTCTTCTTCCTCTCTTGTTTCCTCGCTCCTGCTCTGCACCCCCCGTGCCTCCTCAGCTGGTAATTATGGAAATAGTTGATTATTTCAGCTTTAGGGATGTTTATGAGCTGCTCCCGGGTGTAAAAAATTAACTTGCTATGGTTGCTGTGGTTACGTATCATAAACAGCATCCGAAAAGGAAAAAAAAGCAACAATAGTCCTTCCAGTTTCACAGCATTCAACAACAGAGGCAAAAAAAAGAAACCCTGATCCAAAAGCAGAGGAACTAAAGTTCTCTTTACAAGAATATCAGGGTCGAGCTAGCAGAGCTAATCCAACATGCAGCCACCTTAAGCAGCACAATTCATATTTACTGATTAGAAGTAAACAGAATCACCAAAATATACAATGCAAACTACTGTGGAAGGGTTTAAAGATATTTGTAAAAGTTATCAAGATTCAAAACTGGTCAAGATCAACATGATGAATTAATTGTCCTTCAACAGAAGCAACCAGCCTTTAACCTCATAGCCTCCTGGTAATATAGCCTTATGAAAATATATGGCATTATCACCATTAGCCCAAGGACTGTTTGGCTCTGCCATTCCATGACTCTATTACCCTATGTTTCCATGAAACTGTGATCCATCAACTGTTTGACTCTGTGACTGTTTAACCAAAACAACTCTATGGCTACTTTCACACTGCAGACAAATGTGGCCGGAATCCAATTTTTGTTGCCTTGAAGAGACTCAGGTGAGATTCTTTCCTGACAGTGTGAAGAGGCCAGATCACAACATCTGGGCCATATTCGTGTGTGGTTTTAAATCCGATACAATTCAGATCGCTTGGAATCTGACTCCCGACTGAACGGTCAAGTGACCCGTATTAGAATTAGTATGATGATGATGATGTCGCTCTGTACTGACAGCGTAGGGAAGAAAATAATTACAGCAGACCAACTATGGAGGACAGCCTAGACAGAGAGGAAAGTGGAGGGACAACCAACTTTTGGAATTATTTGGGTGGATACAATGATCAGTGGCACCTCCAGAAATATTTCATATGGAGGGCCAGAAGGGGCCACTTAAAATCTTGATGTGGCCACTGAAACTAAAAGCCATCATTTCAGGGTTTGAATCTATTGTGGTAAATGTGCCGGTAGAAATCATAAAGACCAAACACCTATTCATTTCTCGGTGTTTTGTGATTTTTAATGTTCACTGGCTATGCATAGCTGGATAAAATGCTAAACTGATATTACTACACTTTACACTGGAGAGTGGGGTGGCCAGTAGGGTGGCCAGTGGGGTGGCCAGTAGGGTGGCCAGTAGGGTGGCCAGTGGGGTGGCCAGGGTATTGCACACAGGTTAGAGAGCAGAACCAAACTGAACAGGTGAGACTCTACTTTTGCAGAGATGTTTCTCCAAACTGGGAGGTCTTCTGTTCAAATTAGAATCTTACAGCAGATCCTTTGGCATTTCCTTAGATAAAGGAGGATGATGATTTTCTCCATCATAGTTTAGAGATTTCCTGTGGGTTTTGTGGAACTGCAGACCTGGAAAATAAAGTTTGTTTCAGTGTTAATTGTTCTGTCCATGTGTATATGCATTCAAAATGTAAAAGCAGCAAACAAACAATGTCCAAATCTCCATTTTGACTTCAGATAAAACTGACAAATTAAGCAGCATATCTACGTAACCTACCTTATTCAATAGCTCTTTATTTTCCCAGTGATTTGTTTCACTTTTGAATCAATCGCACAGTTTGAAAAGCTGAACTTTGATAATGCCAATAGTAACACACCCCGATCTTGATTGACATTTTTAAGTAAAGAAACCAGAACGTATAAATTAGCCAGCTTTGCAGTGTAATTTGTCCAGCATTTATGTATCTCTTTTCAGTTGTTGCACCTTGTTTTAACAACCACCTGCTTAATTACAGAGAAGGTGGAGGAATGTCACGCTTGATATAAAGGTGTTACTTCCTGTTCTTCTGCCAATGTTTAAGTCTACCATGGCATTGTAACTGACTCGACACAGACTTTGCAGAGCTTTCTACCCCACAAAACCAGGAATGAACATGGCTCCCCTTATCCACTTAGCCCCCCCTACCCTTTTACTTTCTTTTAAATGTTGTTATTGTTTGGTATTAGTGTCGTTGGAGGCCTGTGATGAGCTACACTGTTGGAATCTCTGGCATGTGGGTGGTGTTATTAGTGCATCAGATAATTATCAACAAAAGTTATGCTTTGTTCAGTTGAAGAGTTTAACATGTTTGCATAACATGTTCCAATAAATGTAACACATATACTTTATCAGCTCCACCCAGTTAAAATGAATAGCCATTCATTGTCAGACTTTAACTGTCATTTACTCAACCGACAGTTGATTCTCAGGCTGACGCAGAGAATAGACTTTCACAAAATTGTTTAGCCGTTGATTTATGAACTTTAAAAACTCTTTAGTGTTTGATGGTTGAAGGTCTGAAGCATTTCTGCAACCCCTCTAGGAGTTGCAACCTCAATACCGAAGACCTCTGCCCTAAAGAGTTTAAGCCCAGGTGGGACATATACTCTATCGGGTATAGGTGTAAGGGATAGCATGAAGGCTGCAACTATTCTCTGCAAACAAATTGCCCTTTGCAGCCCTGATAAGGTAGAGTCTAAAGCAGGCATCCCCAAAGTCGGTCCTCAAGGGCCACTGTCCTGCAGGTTTTAGAGGTTTTCCTGCTTTAGCACAACTGATTATGATGATTTCAGTTGAGCAAAAGCCTGTTAATCAGCTTTTAATTAAAATCAGCTGTGCTGGAGCAAGGAAACCTCTAAAACCTGTAGGACCCTAGAGGACCAAATTTGAAGATGCCTGTTCTAAAGCCTTTCTAATGGACTCTTGGTGTTGCAGAGGAACCTCGTCTAACTGTTGGATGATGAATACCTTATTTGGTTCTACTTCATTTGTTTACCATGCAGGGAAACAAGCAGGAAATAAAGCCACAGACTTCATTACAAAACATGATCAGAATGCTGATAACTACCTTGCTGTGCACAGATACGTGCAGGTTTGTCGACAATGAGAGCCCTGTAAGAGTCAGATCAAATGTTTAAAGAGGACTCAAAGTAAACATGGAAGGAAATTGAACCCATAACTGATATTTGAATGCACTTCTAGCAGCCTAAAATAGCTTAAAACCACAAAGGACTCTAAATAGATAGAAAATACAATCAAGCTTTATTTCTATTTGATAAAAAACACTATTTGCTTTTCTCTGCTGGGCAAAGGTCCATCTTTATATTTCTCATTTTATATTTTCTTACTAAGCAGTCAGACCTTATTGGTAACTGAATGGGTTTTGACCTGGACCTTCAGGATTTCCTTAACAGCTCCATTGGTGACCCTAATGACTGCTAAGGTTATACGTCCAATTCATGTCCAGCACTGAAAACATTTTTAGAGTAAATATGAAACATTTCTTAGAAACATCAGAAGTATCCTGCTAATTAAAGAATTCAGACCACTGCATGTAGGATGTAGGAGAGTTCAATCTATCAAGTCATTAGCAGGACTCTGGGG